CTGCTAGACATGAAGTCACCGACTTCCTTTAGAACAGTGAGAGGGCTAACATCAGTTAGCCGTTCGGTAAAATAACTCTCCACCACCAATCCCTGATCCATGGGATAGTGGCGTCAGCGGAAGGCGAAGATGAACGAGACCGTTCACGTCAAACGGTGTGTAGACGGCACTGCATTGTTCAAAACGAGCTCCACGAGTGGCAGCATGTTGCTCCAGTGCCTCGGAGGCTCAGCGTAGACGCTCGAAGAACGTCGTCGACGACGCGATCCACGCGCTCAGTTTGATCATCGGTCTGCAAATGGTCCGCTGTAGACATAGTCAACTTGGTGCCCAGCACCTGAAGAGTGCAGACCAGAACTTCCCAGTGAGGCGTGGGTCTCTATCAGAGACAATTGACCCCTGGAGTCCATGTTGTCGAAAGACACGATTAGCACAAAGCGTTGCTGTACCGACACCATCCGGCGCCGCCGCAAGATGAACTATCTTGCTCAAACGGTCCACGAAGAACCCGACACCCGTGTTGTCCGCCGAGTCCTTTGGTAGGCCAAACACAAAGTCCGAAGTCATCGACTGCCAGCACCCGAGGACTTCCAGCAAATTGGCCTGCGGTGCCGCCTCATTCGGAGAGGGTTTCGCCCTCTGACACGTCTCACACGTGTGCACATAGGCGCTCTTTTATTTGCACAGCTTAGGCCACCAGTAGTGGCAACTCACCGAGCTGTACGTCCTCTCACGACTAATTTGACCACTGAGTGGGGTGTCGTGGGTCTCATAGAAATACGGCTCTTCAAATCTTCATTGCGAGGAACCACAATTCGTATCGCATATATCAAGTCGGGGCCATATCGTTGCAACCGTGCACGCAATCGCGCCGACAATTTGTTGTCCGAGTTTCCAAACTCCTTGCTCCCGAGAGCCTGTAGGAAACGTCCAGTAGGGGCTGGGATTCCTACTTGTAATGGGTCGAATCTCATTATACATGTAGTATGGATCACATAGTTTGTGTGTCTCATGTAAAAATGTACACCCCGTATAGTTGAATATCCCCTTCAGTTCTAGTGTATCATAAGTGGAAGTACTTATCAGGTAAGGTTAGAAGATGACTGGCTATGATAATAAATGTCACTTTACCTTCGCTCGCTTTTACCTAATTCAACGGTCCACTGGAAGTGAGCAATACGCGGTTAGGCGTGTCAGTTTCCTTAAATCTCTTGCAGACAGTATGTGTACACAGACGGGCGATTCCCGTTACACTACTGGCCCCGAGAAGGGTACTTTGGATGCTGTGGGTACACAGAACTCTGGCCCCAGCATGCATGATACACGTGCAGTTTCTACTATTAGTTTTGGGAGTGTCAGTCAAAGTAAGACTTTAATTGTCCAGAAAAGACGTTGTGGACGATTCGACCATTACGAGCTATGTTTGACACTGGTGCGCCAAACAACTTTGTTTGAGCGCAAGTTATGACCAGGCAAGATGTTAGCCTGCCCAAGAAGAAAAAAGAAATGATCATTTGTTTATCGAATGTATCTAAAATGAAGATGGCAAAGCAAGTCATTCAGTTGGGAATGAAGTTTGAGGGTTTCCAAGGTGAAGACGAGATTATCCTGCTCGTCCTCGATGATAGCTTGATATCATCATATGTATGCCATGGTTGAAGCGCTGTCAACCTAGCATTGACTGGATGAAAATGAAGATCGTCGTCAACAAGTCGCGGTGCTAAATCGAGCTACATGGCGACAAACGAAATCGTATAGGCATATGCATCTGTTAATGAAGTCACAGATGCCAAGTGATATTGTGGTGTGTGATCGTCCCCATCCACGCAGAACAGGCTCAAGAAGACGAAAGTGAAGACACCGACTGGATGTGGAGCAGTCAGGCGGCAGAAAAATACTGCCCCCTTTGCTATCGACACGGATGTCATGGTCGATAGTAGTATCAAGAATAGTGGGATCATAAGCAAAGACCCATCCCAAGTGAGGAATTAGCAGGCCACCAAGAAGTGACACCGTCAAGTATTTTGCGTGCTGATCAAGGTACAATTTGTTTGGATGAAGGAATGTGCCAAACAATATGGAAATCTGAGATGATTGTTGGATTGGCCGACTAATTGCACAAAAAGACGCACAATTATGCAGCGTTGGTGCAACACTTACTGATTCTTTCAAAGACAAGCGTTGAGTTTGAATGCTCAATGGATCTCCAGGTTCTATTTACCAAATAGAAGAAGAGCTTCAGAAAGGCTCCTATTTGCGATTGCAAACCACGATAAACGTTCAAGTGATTATGCAACACGATGATGAAGGTCGAGAGCGAGTTGTTTCGTATCAGTCGCGACAAATCCGGCCCCCAGAAAAAACCTATCCAATCCATGACAAAGATCTACTAGCAACGAAGTATGCTTTGGTTAAGCTCCATGTGTACTTGCTTGAAGAGTAACGCTTAGCGATCTTTACAGATCATATCTCATCGGGTACGGCAGTAAAGACTCCCCATTTATCACATAGAATGAGTCAATGGTTTTCCTTCTTTCTGGAGTACAACACGTTGCACACTACAAGCCAGGCACGACGAACACTTAGTCGATGCGTTCTCGAGACCTCTGGACTATGATCCAAAGTCCAGGAGCAAATACATGCACGAGTCATGTCGACAATGCGAAGATGTTCAGATGATCAGAGTGCAGGCTACAGCTACAGTGCGCAAAGAAACTGTCGAAGGGTGCAATCCTGAATAGACATGTCAGGGCTTGTTGAGGTATTTCAATGACTCTTCCAACTAAGCATTGTAAGGTCTTCCGTCTCGCACAAGATCGCGTGCTTATCATTTTGGAGTACACAACGGATTGTTGCACTATGCGGTTGGACACGGATATACAGCAAGAGTTGTTGTTCCAAATGACGAATTAATGCACCATCGTCTCTTACATAAGTGCCATAAGTGTCCTTTGGGTGGCAATCTCGGACGTTCCACGTGATTTTGGACACCACCGTTCAGGCCGAGAAGAGTCGGCGGTAAACGATGAAGACTGGATTATCGCCATCTGGTGACTCGCGATGTTCTTTGATCTTTGGAGAACAAAGTCCTTCATCATCGGCATTCCGCCTAGCATCTTGCTGATATTACCTACCACTGTGCGGAAGGCCTTCGAATGTCTAGAGCACTTTGTGCACTGACTACTTTACATTGAGATTGAGCTCTCTCGGAGCGGCTATATGCCGTCGCGCAGACGAATGCATCACGTCGTGCGGTGGTTGAGCGCCTTGCGCCGTTGGAAACGGAGTTCGTTGCACTCCGTGCTCAAACCCAGTTGCTGGGCTAGCTTCTGGGTCGCCCGGCGCCAACGCCTTCGCGTTCACTTGCGGCGGACCCCGGTATGGCTTAAGGAAGCCCACATAAAACACCGGGTGGGTGCGCATCCTTCTTGGAAGGTTAAGCGTATACGCAAGGCCCCGCTTGGCCACGACCAAAAAGATTTGATGAACCGTGAATGGAACTTCATCTCAACGACAGCAGAATTGGCTTGAGCAGGAAGGTTTTCAGCATTTTTAAAACCAGGTCCCCAATTTACAGGTTGTCAACATTTCTTCTGCTTCTTCCGACTGCATACTTTTTCTGCATGTTTTGGCTTTCAGCTATCGCCTTGCAAACGTGTCACAAGACACCCAGTCCGGTATACAGAAAGTTATCCACTTCTTTATAAACAATGGGGGGGGTGCTATCAGCTAGCCGCTCCGCTATTCCTCCCCCACCAAGCACTAGCCATGGGACGGCGGCGTCAGCGAGGTTGAACAAGCCCGTTCTCAGAAAACGGCATATAACCGGTAGATGTATGCACTGAAGCGCTCTGAGCGAACTCCACAAGTGGCAACATAGTGCTTCAGCGATTCGGCGTCTCAGCGCAGACACTGCGAAAAACGTCTTTAGCGAAGCAATTCACGCGGTCAGTTTGACCATTGGTCTGCGGAAGATGCGCTGCTAACATATTTAACTTGGTGTCGAGCACCCTGAAGAAAGTCGACCAAAACTTTCCAGAGAAGCGTGGCTACCTGTCAGAGACAATTGACTCCGGAAATTCATGTTGTCCAAAGTCATGATCCACAAACAGCGTCGACCATCGTTGGTGATCGGCACTGTCGCAAGAGGACCATCTTAAACAACGAGCCACAAAGACCACCGCACCCAAGTTGCCCGCCAAGTCCTTTGGCAGGCCAAACACAAAGTCCATACTCATGGACCGCTGGCCGGCG